AAACAAAATGCAAAATGCCACAACAATGGAAAAAGTCACAGTGTCAGTTAAATCAGCTAAAACAGAACTAATGCTAAAACTGAATTTAAGCTAAAACTTAATTTTTTTCTAAATCAGAATTTATGCTAAAACCAAAGGTATGCTCAAACAATTTTTGCTAACAAAGAAATTTATGCTGAATCTGTAGTTATGCTTAAACAGAATTTCATGCGTCTTTTCCCCACATTGGAAGTTATGCTAAAGCTGAAGTTTTAGCATAACTGTGCTTTATACCTCAAGCATAGTTTATCATAACTGTTCTTGAGGTATACATTCCTTTTTAGGAAACATTTTGATTTAGCATAAATTTTGGTTTTGCATGACTTCTGTTCTATTACTAGTCTCATTTTAGCAGAAAATCTGTTTTAATACATTGGTTTTATCGCACATCTGGATATAGTATAGAACAGCCTTCAAAATCTCCCAAGTTTTAACATTTAGAGATGCCCTGATTTCAAAAGCTTTGACCTCCTGAGTTGAATTTGAGCTAGTTAACTACAAGATACATGAAAGATAACCTTAACAATGAGAATTGCATTGCAAAAACATAAAATCTTACCAAGTAATTTTGGTCTAGTTTGTAGTGCAAATATCTTAGTACACTTGAAATAACGCAAAATTACTTAAAAGTGACTTTTCAGCAAAACATAGTAGCTTGTTTTAAGTCAATAATCCCATAATATTGATGAACAGATTCTAGTTTCACTGTCACATTATTTCACTTCTAATATTTTGGTACAGGCGAAATAATCCACCACCATAATTTAAAATGAGCTTGATCATTTCCATTGCGATGATTGCTATTTTTTGAAGGTCAATTTTGTTTGCAGAAATATCATAACCCATTTTATTTATGGTTTTAGTTGTAAGTGGAGCTTTGATTTATTTTTTGTTAGTTTTATTTATTTACTTGTTTGTTTGTTTATTTATTTATTTATTTTTGTTGTGTTTATAGATATTATTAAAACATATTCCAGTTTCATTGTTAAGTGTTTTTTACAAAATTAAAAGTCATTGGTCTATAAGAGAGCAAAGTTGCACTATTATGTCAATATCAGTTGAAAATGGTCTCAAAACAACAATATTAACGTTTATTCAATAGTTATTGGCACAATTTATAGTCATAAAACATTTGTCATTGTGACAGGCCTAACAACAATAAAGCTGAATTCTTATCATACTGAGAAATCACGGTAGATGCTATCCGATACGATTAATGCTGTCCGATACGATAAACGCCAACCCGTAACCTAGATTATGAGTACACTCCTAAACGCCTTATTTTAAATCTTGTATTGAAATGGTTTGAATAGTTAGAAGTTTGTATTTAAACACTTATTGAGCCTAACCGGACCCGAACTGTTTCCTGTCTAGATGTCTGCGTATGGACAGCAAGGTCCAGGAGGTTACGGCCAGCAGAACCAGGGCTACTACAGCCAGCATGGCCCACCCCCCCACCCCGGCCAGCAGCAGCCTCCATACTCTGGCCAGACCCAGGGCAGCTCTGCTGCTCCCTACTCTCAGCAGGGTCACCCTTCGCAACCACCGGGCCAACACACCCAGTCTGGGCCCCCATACCAACAATCCCAGGGGCCCCATGGACCTGCTGCAGGACAGCCTTCCTACAGCCAGCCCCCACAGTCCCATTCAGGACAGCCGCCGTATGTCTCTCCTCAGCAGCAGCAGCAGACTCAACAGCAGCAGCAGCAGCAGCAGCAGCAGCAACAGGGTCCCGGTCCCCAGAGTCAGCAGGGGCCTCAGGGCCAACCCAGTTACCAACAAGCCACCGGACCAGGGCAGGCACCCCAGCAGCAGACCCCGCCACAGCAGCAAGGACCACCGCAGCAACCAGGAGGTCCTCCACCCCAAGCCCAGCAGCCCCCAGGTCACGGCCAGCAGAGCCAGCAGTCACCTTACTCCCAGACACCCCCGCTGCAGCAACCTCCACAGCAACAGCAGCAACAACCACAGCAGCAACAGCAACAGTCTCCATATCAGAGGTTCCCGCCTCCTCCACAGGTACGACCTTCACCTTCAGGACATGAGAGTAGAGCTTTGCTCTTTAGAATGTTTATAGGGGCAGCATTATGTAAAATCAACTTTTTTGTGTTTTACATCATGTTATGATGTTATTCCCTCATCAAATACAAACCTGGAGTTTTGCTTTGATTCTTTTATGCATTTTTTAGAAATCTTTTAATCTCCTATTGAGGTTAAAAGCTGTACAAAACGGCTGGTTGGACCTAGCCCCGCCTTCAAGGATGAAGCTCCTTCTCTGAGCTGCAGTTTCCAAGCTTCCACCTCACAGAGCAGCCCTCCCTCACAACTCCCCCACTCTGCTCCTTCAGACTAGTGGCAGTAATTAGCAAACACCTGGTACAACTGCACATCTGCTGAGCTCATTATAGGAGCTACTTCTCAGTGCAATGCTGGTAAAGTGTAAAGAGCAGGAGTTTCTTAAAGTGACAGAGACCCAATTTCAAGGAGTTAAACTATAAATATATTTTATATGGATAAATTCTTGTTTAAAGTTAACACAGTTACCTCATTGTTCTATAAGATGACAGACAGTATGTGCCTGGAAAACATACAATACCGTCCTTTTAAAAACTGCTAGTTATCACTGACGGCTCATCTGCTTCCTGTTTCTCTAACCAGGAGCTTTCCCAGGATTCCTTCAGCTCCCAGTCCAGTGCTCCTCCTTCTAACCAGCCTAACAAGAGCGGTCAGGAAGACAGCATGCAGGGTCGGCCGTCCAGTCTACCGGTGAGTCCTCCACTCTCTAGCTGTTATGGGTTTTGAAGTGCTGGACCAGCACTAGCATATTCTTTGATTGTTTGACTTGTTAATTGTGTGCAAACTACATTTACTGGAATAAGGTTGCTTATTTACACTTTGCTTTGAACGATGTGTTTCTGCACCTTTACCAAAACTCAAATCTGTTTCAATAAAATTCGCTCTACCTAGAACTGTTTTGCAAGCTGTGATTTTTTTTAGGAATTTAGTTGCAAATTGCTGCTTCACATCTCGCTTGGGGTTCCAGCTGACACAGATAGTAGACGAACAGCGGGTTGAGTTTCATCAGAGTTTAGTTATGACAGTGATTTAAAAATGCCTTGATTGGAATAATAACCTGAAATAAGCTGTGACCCGAGCGCTAGTGATGAATCAGTGGGGTTGTTTTTGGGGGGTTTTTCCGATTGTTTACCCACCTAGACGTTTTCTTGAGCAGCACACTGCTTTAGTTTGACGATGGGTTGCTCATTTTGTTTGAAGTTTAGTTTTCTCTGTGTATCAGCCTGAATGAACAGCAGATATCAGTCATTCTAGGATGTCATAATATTTTTTTGTGATTGTGAAATGGCTGATTTTGTGGCACCTTTTATAAAAAACTGGCAGCCAAACTTGTGATTTCTTTTTTTTTTACACTATTACGCTTGTCATGAGAGGGAAACGTTGAAATTGCTCCACATAACTTTCCTTCAAAAACATATTTTAACATGGTGGATATTTAAAGTGCAAGCAGCATTTTCAAATACCTTTATGAAGCAGCAACCTTTGGTACGAGCAAAATCCTATTCCGGAAAATTGATGAAAATTGCAAGTTGGTGCAAATTATGAGTGAATTTACGTTAATAGTTGGAATTGCTATATCTCAACTTCCTGAAGGGAAAGAGATATGTAGTCAACACTGTTCCCTTTTTAGATTCAACTGAAAGTCATCCCAGTCTGTTGCATTTTAGTAGTTAATCTGTCTTCAATATGCATCAGTAAACCATGTTTGTTGACGTTAGTTGTTTAATGCGTTGACATTAGAAATGCACCGATCCGATACTTATATCGGATTGGTATTGTAAAAAAAACGACAATGTTCCCAGTCCATGAGGGCAGATCTATTCAGTTTAATTCTATACTTTGTGCTCCGATCGACGTCATTCTTTATTTATTTATTTTACATTACATTTAGAATTCCTAATTGCACTTTCTTAACCATTTGAAAGAAGGTTTGTGGTGGTTTACTTTTGCATATTTGACCAAGGTATCCAATCTATTATTTTTTGTCAGTTTCAGTTTCTTTATTGTTTGTTTTTATTGGCTGTTATACTGAGCAAATTAAAGTTGTTGATTTTACATGTTCGGATGTGAAAAAAGTGGATCGGTTAATCCCTAGTTGACATAGTTGCTAATTTCCAGCCAGGAGTGAGGTGGTTTTGAAATCAAACATTTGAATGCTTGTTTTGACACACTTTGATTTGAACACTATTCCTCTCGGTGGGCGGAGGGTCTTCCTCCAAAGACGCTTTCTCTGAGTCTTTCTGGTCGGACCACCAGCCCCGGCTCGAGCCACCAGACATCTCTGGAGGGGGCCGCAGAGCCGGTGGATCTTTCTAGAATTAACTCTGCGGTACCAGATCTGGTTCGGATCAAAACAGAGAGAATAGAGAGCGCTCTAGGTGATTGACGTGAAGACAAGCTCGCAGGTTTTCGCTCGACTTCCAGGGACAAAATACTCATAGCGCGAACCCAAAGTAAAGAGAAAGTGTTTAGCGACGGCCCTCTGGCTGAGATAGAGGTGAGAGAAGCCCCTAGCCTTCCCTCCCTCACTGGAACACGCTGCAGTTTCCATGGCAGTGTTTATAGGTCAGACTGTGGCGCTAACCTCATTCTGGGCCTCGGGGAAAGAGAGTGAGAAATGAGATCATTAATGCGAGAGAATGAAAGTGAGCGAGGAAGGAAAGAAAGGGTTGTGGGGGGGTTGAGGGACTGCAGGCAAATAACTTTAAATAGTGTGAATGATTGGTCGGAGTCGGAGATGTTGGAGACGGAGGGAGGGAGGCAGAGCTGTCTACGCCATTAGGGGATGCCCTCAGGATGTGTTTCCCTTCTCTTTTATTTATTTCTCTTATTTATTTATACATCTCTCTGTGGGCCAAGCTCATTGGGCTAGTGCTATTTTTATTTAGCTTTCCTCTGTTCCCCCCACCCTCCTGACTTCTCAGGGATTCCCTATTAGTGCCGTGTGATTGGCTGAGAGAGGCATTAATCTTCCTAAGGAAGACGTAAACCAATCCTTTTTCCTCTCCTCCTCCCATCCATCCCTGTGGAGCGCACACATTTGGGTGCAGATTAGAGCAGAGTGCCTGGGAACAGACCCCCGACAGCCTTGGTTTAAAAAAAAAAAAAACAGCTGGGGTGATTCCTACAGGTGTTTTCAGTTCATGTTCACCTGGGATATCTGCTGCACCTGGCATTCAGCTGATTCAGGAACGGTGTCAAGAATGTGAAAACTGCAAATATTTCTGAAGGATAGATGGTTCATTGAACTGAAACATATATTTGAAAATGGTAAAGAAAATGTTTAAAAGTAAAACAAACGGTTTCATTCAGTTTATTCATTAGCAACCTTTGAGTTGAACACAGTGACATTACCAAAGAGCCTGAGTGTGTAGCGTAGCCAACGCCAGAAGTGAGAGAAAAGACTAATATGAGTGGTTTTAGATTGTTTAGGTGTTTTTTCCACGTTTTTTGCGTTATTTTCCATTTGCTGTGGAGCGAATCTCTGGATAACACCTATATCTCCAAGTTTCATTTTAACGGGATTGTTCTATGGCAGCAGCGCAGCTATGGCATGTACAAGAATCGTCTTTTTGCCCTCTTACGTTGTGCGAATGCATGAAATTTCCGGATGTAAATGGTGATATGCAGTGTGTCTTCAGCACTAGAAAAAATGAAGAGAGCACTTAAAATGATCAGTTTCTCTGATTTTATTTTTTATAGATATATGTTTGAGTTAGATGAACATTGTTATTTTATTCTATGAACTACTGACGACATGTCTCCGAAATTCCAAGCCAACATTTTGAATTAATTTGCAGAAAATGAGAAACGGTCAAAATAATGAAAAAGATGCAGTGTTTTCAGACCTCAAATAATGCAAAGAAAACAAGTTCATATTCATTTAGAAACAACAATACTAATGTTTTACCTCAGGAAGAGTTCAGAAATCAATATTTGGTGGAATAACCAGGAGGTTTTCAATGGAGTTCAGTGCAGTGGGCTCTTGTGTTTTTCCGGAGCTGTAAATGGTCCTAACCTTTAAAATCTTTCAGGTTCCTGTCATTTTAGAGGAACCAGCGTCTGTCTTGAGTGTACTCTGCCTTTTACATTGAATCCTTTGAGATGGTAACCATAAACCAGAGTAAACCACTTTTTAAAAAAAGTCTAAAAGTTATAGCTTTATAGTAGGTATTTTACTTTGTTTCTAAGCAGATGTTTTATCTAGTTGAATCAATATAATGCTCCTAAGATTCCACTGTTTGAATGAGAAACTGCTACTTTAGGTGTTTGTTGCTGAAACGCTACTTAGAATATAGTTAATATAGTTCATTTAGTCTCGGATCCTATTTCACATTTTTGCTTTATTCTTTCTTATTACCTGACTTCTACGTTCATTAGAAGCTTCCACGGAGACAGTTAAAGAAATGGAAACTTTGTGATCTATAGATTAGAACCACGTTAAAATATTAAGTCAAATTCTTTTTTTTTTTTTTCTTTTTTTTGTTCCTGTTTATGATCATAATATTGAAGGTCAAATATCCGCCAAGGCATGGACAAGTTTCAGATTGTTGCTTAAAGCAGCTAAATGGGGTAAGTAGCATTTAGCTTCTCCATAGCCTCGTCCAGGCTAGTCGGCTAGCAGAGAAAGCTAGCATCACATAGGCTGTTGAAGAGTTTGGTTTTTTTCTAGAAGTTGCAGGTTAGGAAAACAAACTGAGTCTGACAGAGGAGCTGTGGATAGAGGGGGAGGAAGTAAAAACAACAACAAAAAGAACAGGCAGCAGTCGTGGAACTAGCTGAGCAGGCTGAACTGGTTCCTGGTTTGTTTGCACCTTGGTACTGGGACACATTAACGGTGCAACTGTTGACCGTTTCCCACACAGAGCTGCTGTTGTGTGAACTAACATCTTTTTATGTTTTTATTTTTTATTTTTAAGTCACTACAATGCATTAAGCTAACATAGAGCAACACTTAACAAAGCCTGGACCCAAAGCAATGCGGCTAGATGGTAGAAGTCCTCATGGTTTCCAGATCTTCTTGTGACCTACAAACATTTACGCTGTTTCTAGGAAAGAAAGTGAATACAGTGCTGTGAGGAGGGGAAAAAAGGGCATTTTTGTCCTCTTGAATGAGTCACATTATTGACTTAGTCTGTAATGAATAACCCTAGTTGCTGATTAAAAGGGCTCTCCACCAGTTTTCCTCATGAAGGGTTTTGCTCTTCACAAGGAGTGCTGCACAGCTTGTGAAAACAGTTGGTTAATGTCTCCTGCAGGTCCGGTGGGAGCTTTCAGCGCAATCAGCCGTGTTTTCAACAAATATTCTCTGGAAGCTTTGTTATGAACGTAGAAATGGCTTTTCTTTCTTTTGCTGAATAATATTTCATAACTTTACAGAAACTGATAAGAAAACCTTGAACTTTTTGACACTTTTTGTAATGTCACAACCAAAAAACATACAGTGTAATCTGTTTGGAGTCCATGTGATGGACCAACACAAAGTAACACAACATCACGACCTTCAGTCAGGTGGCAAAAAAACAACAAAAAACTACATACACACGATTTACAAATAAAAATCTAAAATATGTGGCTTATGTCTTTGTTCTGTCCCCTGAACTCAGACGCTTCTAAATAAAACTCAGTACGGCCTGTTGTCAATAGAAGAGTGGAAGCAGGAGAATTGGGGGTTAAATGGAATCATGAGCCAAAGAAGAAAAACAACATTGATGTTTTTTCTTTTCTTTTTTTTTTTTTTCTTTTTTTTGAGAAATACAGTGAGGAGGGATCTGCTGTTTTGTCAGTGTGGATCATTTAGCTGTCAGGAATAGCAAGCCTTCTAAAACTAAACTCTGTATTCAGGTGAGAAATCACTTGGTGTTTTTTTTTTTTGTTATTCTCCTCTAAACAGGGCTGACTCGATTAATCACGATGAATCAATTATTGGAATAACCATTAGCTAATTTGATTAATTCTTAACTATGGTATACAGTCTTTAAAAAAAAGGCCAATTGCTGAAAGGACAACACTGTCAGAGCAGTAATTAAGCCAAAAGTGTATACATTTTGCAGGTTTATAAACCTTTGTAAATATGTGCTATCCAGAGCTCCTCAAGTGGCCTAGCTTTAGCTTCACCTGGTTCAAAATACTGTTTAAAAAAAGATCTCAAGCACCTTTTGAAATCCAAATTAATCTGTTAATCCAACAGATAATCAGCAGATCAATCCTACACTGTGTTGATGTTAAGTCAAGCAGAAAGAGCCGAGCTATTCACATGTTGTCAGAAGTATTTATTTAGCTGCAGAGGTATCCTTTGCACAAATGACCCGACACTAAAGGAACTAGGGCTGTGTAATATCAATTTTGCGATATATATCGATATTTTCTTTCCTAGAAAAAAATCGATATTCATCCGCAAGTATCGTAACATCCAACTGTCACCTTGCTCACTCACTGCTTGCTTCGCCAAGAGAGTGATTAGGTCATCAGGCTTAGAGTGATTCCTTTAGATGTTAAGTGCCAAGGTTAAAAAGGTATCAAACTATTCAGAGCAGGGTACTTGGTGCACTTTATTTACTTTATAAATCCATGCAAGCTACAGTTTGTACTGTTTCAATTAAAAGAAACATGTTTTCTGATTCATTTTGTCCAGCTGTCGACTTTAAGTCTGTGTCCATGTCCAACCAGAGCCAGGTATTGTGTAGTTGGTGCTTTTAATAAGTTTTCAGTTAAATTAATTCCATCCAACTCTGTAAGAGTCACAAAATGTCACCAAAATCGCTCTGTCCCTCTAAAATCTTTCAGAAAATCGCAAAAGTGTATTGAATTGTATTGTTTGCCGAATATCACAATATATATTGCATCGTGAGCAGAATATCGTGTATCGTATCGTAAGATTATTGTATCAATACAGCCCTAAAAGGAACACTATTGTTGTATTTTAGGATATAAAATGTTTACTTTCTAATTTGGAAAGGAATAGAATTATTTGTTAATTTAAACATTTTATTTTATTTCTAATTAAATAAATAAAAAATCTGCAGAATGTGCCAGTTTTTTACCTGATTAATTGCCAGAATAATCGATTAATCATCAGAACAATCTATTAATCGTTAGAATAATTGATAGATTAATCAATAATTAAAATAATTTGCAGTCTTACCTCACAGAAATCTTTTATCAGTTAGCCAAATGGCAGTGTTATAGCACAGCTGCAAGCATAAAAAGATAAAGCAAGACTTTACCTATGCCCCCAAGTCCCCGAGCAGCTGAAAGGGAGGCTGAATAAAGAGAAGGACCAAAGAGCAGAGAAGGGGGGGAAGACGTTTAAACCATCTGTCATAACGGGCAATGCTGCCCGATTTTCTGACCAAACGTCCAGACAGAGGTTTTAAGAGGAGTGGTGAAAACAGATGAGGTTGATTAGCGGTGCTGGCTGAAAACCCTTTGTATCATCCTGGACATGTTACTGTGGAATATTGTTTCTACTGCCTGAAAACTGAGCTGTCAGCATGCCGCAGGTCTTCAGTCAGAGGCTTCTTCTGATTCATTGCAAGACTTACTGCTACCAGAGACAGCGTCACCATCTGCAATGACTTTTAAACTTATTTGGATGAAAAATTTTCATATATTTTTTATTTTATAAATATTTATATATATAATAGAAGTATTTTTGAATTTGACTAGAATTCTGGGTAACTGTTCAACTCAAACTCCGGAGCAGCTGCTACTTTGATATTATTTCAGATGAGTTTCATTAAGATCCATTGAAGTCTGCGTCTGTGTAAATGTTTAAGGGGTGTGAGTTGTTTTGGAAGGCAGACCCGGAGCAGATGGAAAGCAGAGCAGCCTTTTGTCGTCACCGCCGGGCTTTTCTGCTCTCTGGATGTGACACTTCCGCTTGTTGTCAGCCTATAGGAAGGGAACTAACTACCAGACCACCATTAACTTCTTTTCACTCCTTCCCTCTCTGCTCCACCACTAACCCCCTTACAAAATTTCCTTCTTGTCGTCTCTCTGGTCTTTTGTGCACCCTGAGGGGCTAATCCCAGGCAGCACCGCCCTCCTCTTGTAGCGCTCCGCTCTTCTGACATGCCTGAAAGTGTTTCAGATTTGAGAGGAAGGTCACATGTTGGTCACACTCTCAGGCCAAAGTTGTTTTTTCGGTCTTCCCGTGTCCTGCCCCTCGTTTCTCGGGATTACTCTGGCCTTAACAACTAAGACCTGAGCTTCATCGTGACAGGTTTTTAACTTTTAAGTTAAGTGTTTTTGTGTAGGTTTTACACTTCTGTCTGACTAATGATGAACCAACACCTGAGATAGTTGACTTCCTACATTTGTAGTTGTGTGCTGCAGCTGTCATTCATCCAGTTTTCTCCCTTCACCAACTCTGAAGCCGACATTTTTACATGATTTCATCAGAATCGAACACAGTTACAGTAGTAAGGCCGTCTGATGATGCCTGTGAGTGTAGTTAGAGCTCTGACACTCAACTTTTTCACAAAGAAAGCTGTTTTATTTTTAGTACTTCTAGCAGTTAGCCATTTGGGTAACATGTGATCACCAAACAATCAGTAATAAAAACATAGTATTTAGATTTCAGTGCGTTGTATCTGATCTCTGGTCTCTGTTTGGGATGCAACAATCCACTTTTTTCACTTTCGATACCGATACGGATATGAGGTTTAGTATCAGCCGGTCCGATACAGAAAGTCATCTGAGTTCACTTAAAACATTTCCTTTAAAAAAAAAATAAAAATAAAAAAATAAACAAACACAGACATAAATAACTGAATTACAAATTTATTTGCTATCTCTGCACCAATACATCAAATCCACCAGTAGCTTCACAAGCTTGGTCAAATATGTAAAAACAACACAACTTTAATTTGTTCAGTCAGTGCAATTAGGAATAGAACAGTCAATGTAAAATAAATAATAATAAAATATTTAATGGAAACACCACAATTGTGAAATAGTGTTTTTTTGTTTGTTTTTTTCCCCCAGCATTAGTAGAATATAGAAAGATTTGCACTAATTTGTAATGGAAACACAGCTACTGTCTTCCTCTACTCTTTAGAGTCCAGCCAATCAACACCAAGGAAAATAAGTGCTATTCCTGGATTGGTGGCTTTACAAAGGCTAACTAATATTATGTCAAGTAGCATTGCACTTAAGTATTTCAGCCTCCCAAGCTGAATTTTTTTCCTAAGTATTTTAGATGCGCGTCGTCACAAAAAAAAAATCCATAAATAAGTGAATTTTCTGCAAATACAAGCCTGAATGAAAAGCCAACATTCTTTAGTAGAAAATATAGTTTCCTTTAAAAAGCTTTTTGAGGCTGTTGTTTCCTCTTAAACAACTTCCGCAGCAAAAAGTGTTGTGATCAACTCGGACTGTTGAGGTTTAGCAATGAAAAAGTTGGGATTATTGAGTTTATGATAATCTGATAAAGCTGAGCTCAGAGTAATCAAGGTTAAAAAGTTCCCTGAAGGAGCCGATGCCAAGTGTTTTTCTCCAGGTACATTTGCATCTCAAACATTTCTAAGGTTACTGTGAGCAGTGTGCACCAACGCATGGTGCATTCACTTTCCAAAGAATAAAAAATGATTATTGGATTTCCTAACCAGACAATTTGTTGTTGCATCTCAAATTTTCATGACGTATTGAGTTTGTCCTTTTCATTTTCAAACTTCTAGAGGCTAATAATAGTTTCCATCCAGCCTGGTCTTGTTGTTAGCGGCTGCTTAACGGTGCATACAGGAGCATAGGAAATGAGACTTTGATTGTGGATGTGAATAAAGACTAACTCAGTTGCTGGTCTAGAAAGCAAAAGTGTTTGATGTTTGCTGGCGGTTAATAACTTATATACATCTCCTGTAAGCATAAATATGATCCAGACTTTCCTACAGTATTTGTATAATTGAGTTTCTTGTGAACATTAGGGGGGGGGGGATAAAAAGCAGGTTCAGCTTTTGCTTCATTTTTATTTTGATACGTTAAAGACAAAATGCATGTTGGGTTAATGCAGAGTTGTTCCCTTTAATTTTCTGACTGGATCATTTACCATTTGCCCCCCCCAGAGAAATGCTGTTGTTCTGTGCAGTTGCAATAGACCACCTACTTCCCAGCAGCAGCTCCCCCTGCCTTAATGACCTTTAATTTTATGTACCAAGCCTCCTGATGTGAAACTAAATGATCTTCTATTTTTCCTGTTACACTTTTAAACCCCCCATCCCCAGCCCCCTTCTCCATCCTGCGCTCCCCGCTCAGCCCAGCCCAGTTCGGCTCTCCTGCGGCAGCTAAGCTTGTTTTTGCGACATAGCTCTGGAGCAATCAGCCCGACAAGGCCCGGCCCACTTTGATTTTTTTTTCTTTTTTTTTTTTCTTCCTCGTGTCCCTTTTCCTTCCAGTCCCTGCCCCCTCTGTAGCTTTCCCTACATTACCATTATCTTATTTTTCCTGCATTTCTCTTTCTCTCCACGTTTAACACACCTATATCCCTTCTCTCCCTCATTCTTCTTTCAGTCTAAATTCTCATTTTCTCTTTTCCTCGCCCGTGCCCTCTGCCGCCTGCCTCCTCCCCTCCCTCCTCTCTCTCTTTCCCTCTCCTCTCTCAGTAAATCAGCTTTCATAACGCCGTGCAGCACAGCCCTGCTTTGCGAAGCCTCTGACGCTGACAGAATTCAGAGTCCGGGGCCAGCTTCCTGTTGCTATTCTGGGGCCCTGGCTTCCTGTGTGGACGTGTCTCATTCAGGTTCCAGGGCGCCTCTTGCTCCCTCCCCTTCTCTCTCTTTCTGTTTCTCCCCCCTCCACCTCCTTGCCCTCTCTCTTCTTTCCTCTGTATGATTTTTAATTAACGTGCTTGAGGAAATTCAATCTGCTGACGGGAGTGCGGCGTTTCGGACTGTTTCTCGGCTGCAGAAAACCGCGCTTCGCTCTCTGCAAGATACTCCACACACCCAGAACACACTCTTTTCGTTTAGCTCTCTCTGTTCACTCTCTCGCTCTCTCTCACACACACAAACACGCACACACACACACACACACACACACACACTCACATGCCCCTCCCCTCTGCCTCCATTTCTGCTGGGCTGAGCTAGTTTTGCAGCACAAAGACTGTGGCTGACTGCAGCACTGTCTGTCCTCTGCTTTCTCCTGTGTGAGCTGGAAAAAAAAAGCTGCTGAGGCTGGATGAATGAAAGCAGCTTCATGATGAAATCAACTCCTGCTACCCCTATCCCTAATATCTTAACCTTAATATCTTACCCATTCCTATCCCTAATATCCTGCGTCTAGTATCTTACACCTAATGTCCTATCTCTTGTATCCTACCCCAAATATTCCACGTCTAGTATCTCTGGTCTAGTATCCCACCCCTAATCTCCTAACCCTACTCTAACCCTTGCTCATGTTGTATACATAGAAAAATCTT